TTCAAATGTAGTTCTGATGTCACACAATCTAGTAACGTCAAACAACTTTCAAATGTAGTTCTGATATCACACAACCTAGTAACTTCAAACAACTTTCAAACGTAGTTCTGATATCACACAACCTAGTAACGTCAAACAATTTTCAAATGTAGTTCTGATGTCACACAATCTAGTAACGTCAAACAACTTTCAAATGTAGTTCTGATATCACACAATTTAGTAACGTCAAACAACTTTCAAATGTAGTTCTGATATCACACAACCTAGTAACGTCAAACAACTTTCAAATGAGGTTCTGATATCACACAACCTAGTAACGTCAAACAACTTTCAAATGTAGTTCTGATATCACACAACCTAGTAACGTCAAAAAACTTTCAAATGTACTTCTGATAAATTATGTCCCACCACACCTTTATATCAACTTTAGTTGTCACGTACATCGCTGATTCGCGATTTAAAAGAATTTTGATATAATCCATTCAATCCTGTGCATGTTTCCACGAATCTGACTGCATTGACGTTGCTTTTATATTCATGTACTCTATTAGTGTAATTTTTATACCGAATAGTTTCACTTCCAGAATACAGTTATAATGTTGAAACATTACAATTTATATTGCCTTATTTCCTGGACTTTCTTTACTAACGTAAACAATTAGCTAACGTCCAACAGTTAAACAGTCAAATTAAATGTGTTTCCTGGAAAGATCAGATTTATGCTTATCTAAGCTTTCCGATCTATACTTCGAACGTGTTTTGATAAGAAAGGTATAAATAAATATTTCATCTAACATACGACACACCAACGTTTCAGATTGGAGAAAAATATACCTAATTCAAAATAAAAATATTGCAAGACATTTTTAAAGTATGCTTCTAACAGAGATGTTTCCAAAGTGGAAATGAGTGTATAAAACCAAAAGAAAAATAAATACACTCCATTTTAACTAACAAAGTATATAGAAGCTAGTATAGAACGGAAAAAGTAAAAACATAAGATTTTTGTATCTGTTAAGTGAAAGGTTTTTCTTGAAACGATATTAGGATCAATTCTAAATTTTGGCAGTGCTTTCTTAATGGAGGATGCACAATAATATCTTAGTGCATGCTGGGTAGACACGTATGCTAAGAAGGTGATTTATGTTTTATATCCCAGAGTAATGCGCATAAATATTGCAGGAAATTGAATCTGTCAAACTTGTAAGTTTCTGCTGGCTTAGTAACAGTATACCTAAGTTTACCTTAGGTGCTTTAGTTTCTCCACAAAAACAAATCAGTGCAAGAACACGATAAAAAAATGCGCACATTATCGGAAAAGCTGTATAGAAACTGTGTCAAAGCGTCAAGAATGAAATATTACCTTACGTTGTTAGTTTCAATAACCAACAGAAATTATCCTTAATTATCGCGATGTAGTTTTTAATAACACGGATCAATGGTCTCACAAAAGGATTGGATAATAAATCTTGGGTAAAGTAAACAAGGGCTCCGTCTTTATGCTGCTCGAAAATTATCCCTTAACATATGAAAACTGTGCGTAATGTTAGACATTTCAACTTCTTGAATAAACAGAATCAGTGCAGTAATTAATTTAATATCTAACTGGCTGCGTCAAGTATATGGTTGTGTAAATTATGAAAATAGCAAATGTTTTTGTACTTCAATGTCAGAAAAGTAATTTTTGCTTTCACAGCACGTATTCAAAGGTCCATAATATTTGTCGAAACTACTTAGACATTAAAATTTATATTATTTTGATAAATTAATGTAGGAATTTGTAAGAAGCGTTGAAATGTTTAACTTGTTTTCGTTATTTTCTCAGCTCAATTATGAAATCAAAATACATGTAGATCACTATAGGTTTTAATGTTATAATTGGTAGTCAGTAAATGTACATATTATCATATTTAACAGAGAAACGTGTATAGAAGCTTTACCATGCTTTGGATTTATGATTTGAATGGTAATCATATCAATATACATGCATATGTGGGACTGAGAGAAATAAAAATAAAATAAAATCCAGACCGTAAATTCAATGAATAATCCAATAATTCTAATGGCAGGAGATGAAGCAGAGAAGCACACCGAAAATAGTCGACTCCGAATTTTTAGAACATAGGGCGACTGTCATAACGGCGGTGATATTAACATAAAGTGCAACTAATTCAAGCATATGAAGGATAGAAAGTTTTGCCATTATAAAGATATATTTACAGTACTATATCATTTAAGAATAACGATTAAGTTACATTCTGGTTATCATCACGGCAATGTTGTGAACACTGGATGATAAAACATATATTTAACATATATGTTTTATCTGCCTTAGATACTCTTGCTGCTATTTTTTTTCAGAAAAAAATCACCAGAGCACATTTGAAATGGTAGACCAACATATTGTTGCATAGCATTACCCTTGATTATATGATACAAGTACAGTATAGTACTTTTAAGATAATGATTCAGTTTCGATCGTTATGCTGCTTCATCTACAGTAATAGTGTAACTAGCACAGATCTTCATTATGTAATTGCACATAAATAATGGAGGATTGTTAGTGCGGGAAGTTTGGACTTTCCTTCTTACCAAAGATTTTATAGTCAAGTAATCTTTCTTCATACTTTTGTTTTTCTTAATGTTTTTAAGATTCACTTAGATGGTGTCTAAAAGTCTCTTCAATCAATGGAGCGGTAATATAACATATCAGACAAACCTTTTTAATCAATGGGGACACTAAATAAAGAAATCAATAAATATTTTTCTAGTTTCGCTCTCTAGACATTTCATTTTACACTTTCAGTGCATAGACTAACAGTAATATCATGTGACTAGGGTATAGCTGGTCAAAAATGATGGGGCAAGTACTACCACCTCCACTCCATAATATACTCTAGCTCAAATTTCATTGCCAACTGAAATAAATACATTTTACGAAATCAAGCTTGACCAATAAAGAGGAAGAAAAGTGCAGTCGAGGCAGTCGAACGTCGGTAAAT